CGTGGCCCAATGCTTAATGGGGGGAATTTATCAAAACTGCGCAGAAAAAATCTGGAGCAGTTGCCCACGGCAACCAATCAGCTTCTCTCTTCAGTTCGTTCCGTTAAGATTTGAAAATGAAAGAAAGAAGCTGATTGGTCGACATGCACAGCTGCTCCAGATTTGATAAATTCCCCTCAATGTGCCAAGCCAGCCGGTGATGATGCCCGACGTCATTGACCAAATATGGCCATCACCATATTTGGTCACTGAAGTCACCAGGAACCTCCAGGCTGGTTTGTTTACTAAGTGAAAAAAGTCAGTGGGCAGACTGGAAAGCTTACAGTTTTGGACCTAAACTATACAGAGAGCCTCAAATACGGCCCCCAACATGACCGAAGGGCCACACAAAAGCGTTGTTTTCGTAAATTTTCTGACGCGCCCCCAAGGGGTGGGTCAGCAACAGTCTGGGCTGACAGGAAGTGGGTTAGATGATGCTCACCATCATTCAACCTGGAAGATGGAGAGCTGGACCTTGGAGTGATACATCTCTGGGGAACAGCCCCGGGGATGAGGTCAGCATTGCAGCCAAAACTGTTTGTTGCTTTAAATAATGTCTCTTTCCATTGGTAAAGTTGCTATTCAGAATTTGTTTTTGTCTTATTGCATAAAACTTCAAATAACAAAACATGCACCAAAATCCGCCAGAAACTGGATAGGATATACATTTTTTTGTAATTATTATTCTTATTTATTTTTTTTACATTTATGAATGGATTTGTTTGGAAACCAATCCATTGATAGTACTAGTAGGGTCAGCACTGTCCCCCTTTCACCTGTTGACATTCATATGAATGGCTCTGTGTACCTTCAAACCGATTCATACTCGCGAGTAGTTGGGAACGATCTCACTGGAGGGGGGAGACATGGGGAGCAGTTTGACTGAGGGGAGTCTAACAGGGAGAGAGGGGCCCTCTTTGTCCCCAACCTAATGGAGCCACACACCATCATCATGTGTTTCCATGGTGCAGGCAGGAACAGCATTGCTTGTTGCTAAGGTGCTGTAGAACAGCCTGCCAGCACCATGGAAACACAAGACACTGATCCAGGGTGGGCAGCCGCAGCATTCACAGGATGGAAGGGGCTGTATCCGGACTCCATCTAGACCAGATGTGAAGGAGGGACTCCCACTTTGGCACCAAGGAGGGTAAATTGTAGAAATGTCACCAGCACACCAGTCCTTTTAGGATAGCAAAAGCTTCATTTATTGAAGTTCTTTGTCATATGAACACACAGGGTCCCTTCATCAGGCTTTAGCATTGGTCAATGCCCTTTCGGGACCACACAGGGTCCCTTCATCAGGCTTTAGCATTGGTCAATGCCCTTTCGGGACCACCCAGGGTCCCTTCATCAGGCTTTAGCATTGGTCAATGCTAAAGCCTGATGAAGGGACCCTGTGTGGTCCCGAAAGCGCTTGTTCATATGACAAAGAACTTCAATAATGGAAGCTTTTGCTATCCTAAAAGGACTGATGTCATTACTACAATTTGCTGATATTTGAGGCGCCATCCGCTGTCACTGCGAGCAACCCCCCCCCCATTGCAAGGGACCTTTCGGTAAGGATTGCAACAAGGATAGTATTTATTACCAAGGAGAGGGTGACACCATCATCCAGCACACTGTTATTTGACCCTTCCTTTACTCCACCCTCTGTCCCTGGGGTTTGCAACCCTACAGGATCCAAAATAGGCCTCATCCCCTCATACAAGTGGAGGATTCATTTTCCTCAGAGCCTACATTTTTGCTCATTCAAATTCATCAAAAAGTGTCATGGGTTGAAATATTTTCCTGGTCACGTCCCTTCCGTGTCTCCTCATTCTCTCTCTTAGTGTACCTGCCACAAGGGGGATACACCACTGACCAATTGGCTTCAGTACCTTCGGATCTGACATGGAACAAATATTAAGATTAGGATAGAGGGACTAAAAAGGTGGAACTTCTTTAAGGAAAACCTGTAACATGTGACCATTGGTATAGCTCTGTTATTTGTCCTGGCTGCCTCTCAGCATGGAAGAGTAGATTTCAACTACGGACTTCACCAGCCAATTTCTCTGTTGTTCCTATAAGATAAGACCGGTGCCGGAGATGTCTAGAAAGTTCATGCTTTTCCAGCTGTTACATTAAGTCTAAATTTAGTTATGGAAGGACAGGTGGCTCATTAAGACCTTGACTTGATTAACCAGCAAGGGCAGATAATTGGTTTAGCAGGCAGCTAGACCCCCAACACATATTCCCACTCTGTGAATATAAATGAGCAGTTTACCTTCAGGGCAACTCACGCCCCCCTGCCCAGGAAGATTATCCATTCCGGTCTACATGTGAACAAGCAGGTTGAGATCTGCTGACCACCAGCCACGACTTGACAAGCGAACACTGGAAATGGAAAAATATTGTTAACTCACATCCTTAGTCCCCATGTGACCACATTGGCCAATGAGTCTCTTCGGGGACACCATCCAGGAAGTAAGAAAGCTCAGAAGTCTCTCATTAGCCAGTGCAGTTACCCTTCTCACCTGCCCCAGGTCCCTGCTGCCTGAACGTCAACATTTTATACACAGCCCTGGAGGCTCTGTACATAATACTGCAATAGGGAGCAGCCATTGATCAGCACAACCACATTGATCAACAGCAATCTCTTCAAAGCCTTCTTTCAGGATAGCATCCCATAAGAAAGTCATTGTCCAGCATGGTCCCATAAGGGGCTGAGGAGGTTGTTAGTTGGCTCAACTTTTCATTCGAATGTGAAAACATTTTTCAGATCAGGTGATTGGTACTTACTGTGGAGTAGTATGTAGTCCACATTTTCCTAACACAAATCCAACACGGACCAAGATGAATACAAGTCTTCCATCATTTCATGGATTTTAGAGTTCTAAATTGCAGTAAACGCAGGCAACCAAAGCATGCTCTGCTGCATTAAAAAGGAGAACTATGAGGTGAGTGCTTTCTCACCTCATAGTTCTAGCCGACCTGTGACAATGAGACTGTCACAGGTCGGCTCAGTAGATCGGGAGGTGAGCGAATCACATACCAGCGTTCGCTCACCTCTCGATTCCCCCCTCCGCCAGCGCTGACTGGCAGAATGGACGGGGGAGGGCTGGCTCTGCCTCCAGATAGGCAGAGCCAGCTGTCAGTCACTAGAGGAGAAGGTCCCTTCTCAACATACACAGGACAAAAGTTAGAGAATTATGAGGCAGGTGATTTTTACTCAGCCTCATAATCTGAGCCGACCTGTGACAATGAAACTGTCACAGGTCGGCCTAGTAGATCGGGAAGACATACTGTCACTCGCTCACTTCTCAATCTATCCCTGCAGAGAGCCGTGACTGTCACTCACAGCTCCATGCAGGGATTCCCCCCTCCCTGCTCCAATCCTCCAGCGCTGACTGGCGGAACGGATGGGGGAGGGGGCAGGCACAGCTGGCTCTGCCTCTGGTTAGGCAGAGTCAGCTGTCAATCCCACAGCTTTGTGGATCTCGACAGCAATGTCGAGATCCATTCCGTCTGTGGCGTCTCAGTATACCGCTAGCTGTATACCGAGCTTTGGGTCATGGGAGAACGCTAATTTGTGTTCTCCAGTGACCCTTAGGAGAACTATGGGGAAGAGCCCAGAACCCATAGTTCTCCTTTAATTAACAATAGTGCTAGAAGGTAGATCAGCAGCTCTGAGGGGTTGTTTTTTTTAGCACATCAGGAATATTTAAAAAAAATTGAGACATGAAGAATTGTATGAAATTAGGTCAACAGCTCCAAGACCAGATGGCAGAGGGGTACTGGGCAAGAACTACAATTGGACCTCTTACAATTGCCCACTGGTAAAGGAGAACCTCTTACTCTTCCAACCACTTTGCAGATCTGCAGTCATTTGCCTAATCCAGGTACATTTATAGCAATGCCTCAGTAAAATTAGATCCGTTTTATAATAAGTGTTAAGAAGCAAAAGGACACCAAAGTGCAAACGTCGAGAATGTTTATTGAATGCCATAAAACCAGAAGTTAAAAACAGACAAATGTGCCAAGATGGCAATCCCATCCAAAATGCAGATCATGGAAAATACAATACAGAAGCAAAGATAGCCGCTTACAGCTTATCAAGTGACAATTCCAGATACACCTCTAGGTAATGGTGTAGTCAGTGAGCTTTTAGCACAAGTGTGTGTACAAGTTAGTGTTATTGACAAAGGTTAGACAACCGTGCGTTTTTTCACACCCCATTCTGTTCAAATGAATACAAACCCTTCATATGTGCGGAGAAAGGAGACATTTTGTGGCCTTAAATAAATACTGACCAAACCACAAAATGTCAGCATTCATTACAAACAAGCAACAGGTCCAGTTTTTTGAAGTTGCAAAACCCTCACCATGTGCATAGTCTAGTGAACAGCTTTTACAACACAACTTAGGGGGTTTATAATGGTTTTCACACAAGATGCACTTTACCCAATTGGATTCATTTGGATAAAAGGTGTAAACCCTGGGCAAAGGTTACACAACTCGTGTGAAGGCAATAGACCCGTCAGTGTTCTGTTGGGGAGTAGACCTTATTCAGTTGAGTGGCTTGTTGGAAAGTAGGCCTCCTCATCCGGTTGAGCGGCTTGTTGGAGAGTAGGCCTTTTCATCCAGTTGAGAAGCTTGTTGGGAGAGTAGGCCTCATCCGGTTGAGCAGCTTGTTGGGAGAGTAGGCCTCCTCATCCAGTTGAGAAGCTTGTTGGGGAGTAGGCCTCCTCATCCAGTTGAGCAGCTTGTTGGGGAGTAGGCCTTCTCATCCAGTTGAGCAGCTTGGTGGGGAGTAGGCCTCCTCATCCAGTTGAGAAGCTTGTTGGGGAGTAGGCCTCCTCATCCAGTTGAGAAGCTTGGTGGGGAGTAGGCCTCATCCAGTTGAGAAGCTTGGTGGGGAGTAGGCCTCCTCATCCGGTTGAGCGGCTTGTTGGGGAGTAGGCCTTCTCATCCGGTTCAGTGGCCTAATCTTCAAGCCACAAGTAGAAGCCTATGGCAACCACATCATTAAATAAGTGACATTCGGTCTAGTCTACCCCTTACAGCTTAAAGAATGTGGAGTCTCCCTCTTGATCCACAAAAGGGAGGCTGTGCAATGCAGGGATACCGTGTTCTAGTGGGCCAGCACTTTCATAGTTCTAAACTCCAATCTGGCCCATATTACCAATACATGTTGTGAAGGTATCTGCTGTGCTCGCCCTCCTTGTGCAGTGCGTAGTTCTTGCCTCCATTGCTGTCCCAGTGTTCCTCACCCTGGCACCAGAAGCAGATACAGAACTCTGCACGCTGGGTGCCTGGTGGCAGTGGAAGCCTGAATGAGAACATATCAGTCTCCCCTCCACCATACGGGTCACGGAGATAAGAGCATGGAAGGTCATAGTGGCTTTTCCAGTTGTCGTAGCTGACCCGCAGAGTCACCCTTTTCTGATAGCCGAGGTTATGGACTTGTACAGTCCCAGCCACTGCAGCCCCCTGGACAGCGCATTGCTCCAAGCATACATGCTGCTGGGCAAGCCTGGCCCGGAAGCTACTGTAGTCGTGAGCAGGAGGCTGGAAGTCCAGTGTGTACGTTGAGGTGGAGAAGGGGCGCAAGGCTCGCAAGGAAGCCAACGCAATGACCAGGGGATCCTCATCAAAGAACGGGCGTGAGATATGGCGCACGCTGGTGAGAGCCAGTCCGAGTGCATCGGCAAAGACTACGCCCTTTTTACGAGGGTCTGGAGGACGAGGAAATGGAGCCAGGCATGGGCGAAGTGTTCCTGTAGATGGCCGACAAAACTGTGGTGGAGGAGGGGGACTGAGACACAGACACATGGAGAAGTCTCCAGGCATGGTGCAGACAAGATTGGAATGAGCCTAAAAAAGAAAAAACCGAGGAAGCGGCATTAGTTCACAGAAAAGGCAAATTAAAGAAAACATAATTCTAGGCAATGGAACATCGAAAACCCAAATGCTATTATTTTACAGCATCCATAGCAAAGTCCGTCTCAGAATAACAGTTGGTCCTCAAAAGGAGAAACAAAACACTTCCTCTCACTACCCGCACCACCAAACCCTGGTACCACCCACACCACCAAACCCTGGTACCACCAAACCCTGGTACCACCCACACCACCAAACCCTGGTACCACCAAACCCTGGTACCACCCACACCACCAAACCCTGGTACCACCCACCAGTGAGGAGTCCTCCCCGACATCCCTCCAGAAATGGTCACTTCCAGGGGTGTCGATTGCCTGCATCTCATTTTGTACCCAGTAGTTCAG